CTTTAAAGAAGCAGGGACTTGGTGATAGTGAAGGGGAAGAACTCGCTTTTAACAGGAAGAGACCTCCGAGTGAAGTAGGCTCAGAAAGGGGCAGCAATCTGCTTATGAGGTAAGTGGAAAGAAATGACAGACTAGAGGAGCATAGGTTTTCTTTTTAATGACCTTCGGTGGATAAAAAAGGTTTGCAAAAGTTGCATTTTAATTGTTGTTAAATGGGTGGTTGAAATATATCTCTGTGGGTGAAGGGACGAATGGTAATTACAGCATGTAAAACATACTTCTGAATAAATTGGCTAATGTAGGCAAATCAATTGAATTTGCATTTGAACATCTGCTGGAGAAGACTGAACTTTACTTTATCTGATTTTGCTGAAACGCTTATCACGTTAGCTTTTGCCAGCTCTAAATCAACTCAATTTTTCAATGTTTTCCATATAACCTGCATTTTACATGCGCTTAGGATGCTTAGGTTAGTAAGCTAACCCAGCCAAATGTTAGGCCCTGGTTTGGGGATGGGGCCATTAGGCTTGACAAGTTTCTCTGTGTTGGGTCTGACTTTCAGATTGTCCTTTACTGATACCATGGGCTGCAATGCTGTTAGCGTTCGTCAAACAAAACCCCTCTGATTAGCTCCTCGACTGACGGTTTGTGACGGCATTGTTGTGCCAACCACGGATAAGCTTGATTGGTGGAACATGGTGGTTACACCTCACCGTTATCTCTAAAGTGTCAAGTGGGTCAGTGGAAAGAGACCTTTACACCTTCCTGTTGGTGCATTTTGTTCTTTCTTCTACTTCCTCAAGGGACCGTCTGCTCTTTAGTTTTCTTTCAAGTCAACTCTCTAGAGCCTGTGGTTGATGTAGTTTTTGCATCTTTCTCTTTTTGTGTTGTTCCTCTTCCTCAGTCCTCACCGCTCTCGCAGCTAAACTTCTTTTTCCCCCTGCATCTCCTGTTGTTAATGATCCATACCGTGAGCCTATCTGTCATTGTTCCCACCATCCGTACTTTCCTTTCTGCTTCCTTTTCTCTCCGTCTTTCTCTCTCACATGGTGACAATATGAGATTTTCTCTCCTGCAGGGTATGAAAGCACATTTATTCTAAGAAAGAAACAAGCACACTGAGAGCACAAGCAGCTGTATGCGCCATTACTAGGCGGGAAATCTCATGGTTGCGCATTGACACAGACAGACGGAGACACACGCACACACACTGCAAGAGAGAAATGAGATTGTGATGGAGCGATGAATTAGATTTATCACTGGTTCGGCGGTGCCTCTGCCTTGTATTACTCCCACTGTTCACACAGCCAAGGACATTACTGCTAAGAGAAATAGCCGGAGAAAGTAAGACAGAAATCGCATGAGATGAAAGAGGAAGGTCAGGAGAAACATAAGCAGTAACAGAAGTTATGGAGGCCTGAAACTGTCAGAATCATCTGTATCATGGACTAGTAGATACATGTGCTATTGAATGCACCAAAATATTTAAAGTAAATGGTAGGTATCAATATATAAAATGTGGACAGATGCTATTATCTTGGGTTTGCCTCTGTGGTGCAGAAAAAGGCAATTAGACTGATGTTACCAGTAGCAAGTATATAAATGTCAGTGTCTATCTTTGTATCAAATAATCCCATTTGACAGTAATGGCTGTCTAATCTAGGTTGGCTCAGTTCCTCTAATACAGTGGTCCCCAACCTTTTTTTGCGACACGGGCTGGTTTATGTCCGACAATATTTTCATCGACCGGCATTTAAGGTGTCGTGGATAAATACAACAACATAAAACCAGTACCGGTACCAAAAAACAGAAGATTTATTTATAATACACAGGAAATTCTTCAGGGAAACCGATTTAATGATAGAAATGATGTAAAAAAAAAAATCACAATTAAAAACCCTGAAAACCATAAATTTCACACCCAAGCCTCAACTCTAGCGGCCCAGTACCAAATGGCTCACGCACCAGTACCGGTCCATGCCCCGGGGGTTGGGGACAACTGCTCTAGTAGACGCAGTCCTTTCTGTTGTGAGCCTGGCATCCAGTTGGCGTTAAACCCATGACAAACACAGAATGACAGAAATGCATTTAGATCAGTAAAAATAAACAAAAAATAATAATAATTTTGAGGCGTAAGATACAAGGTGAAATATAAGGACTGAATGAAAAGCCAAACCCTAGAGATGTTAGAAGGGTAATGCATTAATCTTCTTCCTTTTCTTTTTGTTTGCATTCTTTTC